CTTGTACAAAAGACGATTATCATTTAAATTTTACTACAAATTTCATTTCTTTTTGATAGTACCATTATTGATTACATTAATGTTGTAGAAAAGAGTTTACAGATCAACTCAGTTCAAAATCTGGACATGTTTTGTAAAATGTTCTAGTTATATTATAAATGTTTCGAAGAAAATCATCTAAAAATGAAAATCTTTTTCTATTAAAGATTCATATTGGAAAAGAATTTTCTCTTTAGGTTTTGTTAATGCTCACTAGCATCTACGTATACATATCATAATTCAATTTTATTTTTGTTATGCTTCGAAGCAATCGAAATTATTCAAGAAAAAATCAGAAAAGTGTATAAAATAATTTTTTTTTGAAGATTCTTCTCCCTCAAGATTGATGTTTTTCCCATTCATGTGTTTTACTTCAAAGGACTCCCATAGCAAATTGGACTACAATAATTTCTAATCTACAAGTTTTACATGGTGATGTCATTTCTAATCCAATCAATAAGAATAAAAATTTTGTTTCTTCATTTCTTTCGTTTTTGATAACATATTTGATTGCTAATGATTCTCCCGTTTATCTCCCATACTATCATGATTAATGTATAAATGTCTGTTTTTTTTTTGTAAAAAAACAACATCCTGCTTGCTTAATTCCTAATACATCAATTATCATCATTCTACTCGTTTATTTTTATTAGTATTAATGCAATCATCCATGATATTTCCTTTCAAATAGCAAAAAACATTTAAATTTCATTCGGAACTTTATATGATTAATCTTCTCGAGTTTCATTTTCTTAAACTTTTTGAAACATGAAAATCACTGAGTGCTTCGTTCTCTTTAGTCTAAACAACAGAACCCGATTATCATCCATTTAGATTATCCTTGAGAATTTTCATATGAAAACAAAAAACTCGGAATTTTTTCGTCTAAATCAATTTTTAAACAGATTATGTTCTTCATCTGAGCAGTGTGATCGACTATTCACAATTCGATATTGATCAAATGATTAAAATCATATTCGAATGTGTTAAATTAAGATTGAAGAATATACTCATCTATGGAGAAAAAACATATGCTTCAACATTAATAGATATAATGAAAAAAGCAACATCACACGTCATAGTTGAGCAAAATGGATAATTGACTAAAAAACTTTATTAGAAAATAACATTGTATAGATAGTTGTTTATAGGAAGAGATATTTCAATCTACTTGATTTGCTGCACAATGATTGTAGAACATAATAGATTTTATCATTAATTTTTTCATCATTACTATTTAAGTTATCGTCAAGTAAATTGTTTTCACAAATTTCGTAGTGAAAAGGAGTTCTATTGATTGAATCTGTTCGTTTTTTTTCTATGCTACAGAACAAGTATGTATTTGTAAACTATTCTTACGTTAGTTATTGAAAATGTTGATTTTTCTGATCAAATCTCATCTTTCTGTTTGACATATGTTCAATAAAATCACCGATGATATCTGTTAACAATTGTGTTATTGTCTGTTAGATGCAATCTTTATACTCAACTTGAATCTGCAAGCGTTCTCAATTTCTGGCAAAGTAAAAATATCTCTGAGCATTTCTATTGATCGTATTGTCCGAGTAAATTCATTTTTTTTGTCTTTGAAGAAATATATGTTATAGGCAATAAGAAGCAAGCTAATTTGTCTGAGAGACAGTTTATGCGAGATATCGTACTAATTCAATTAGTGAGTTCGTCGACTATTATTTGTTTCAAATATAAATAACGACATTTATCAAATGTATACTCACAAAATGTCAGACTATCTAAGTGTTTTGCCCATCGAAATGATTGAATATATTTTCGATCATCTTTCCATCGATGATATTCTCTCCTCTATTCTTGCTTTCGATTCGATTTCAATAGCATAGCTAAAAAGAAAAAACAATTTGAATTTATCTGTCATCACTTGTCCAATTTGGCACCTCATATTTTCTCATTAATATTTGACCATGATATAATAACAGATGCAAAAATTGTTCGTTTTTTTCTGCTCGATTACTATGAATGATATTTTTCAAATTTGCATTCTACTACTCTCAATAAGATCGATTCGAATATTTGGAATTTGATTCGAACTCAACTACCATTGTTTGTAGTGTTAAAATCAATATCTATTGCTGATATTTATGATTCAAAGGGATCAACATCAGCGTTAATGTCGCTCATTTTTCACGATCTTCTATTTACTGTATCATCACTGAAATATGTATCTTTCAGCATACAGTTTGGTTGAAAGAAAGCAATAACCATTTCATCATCTTCTTTAACGCAAACATCTGCTATTGAATGTCTAACAGTAATGGTAGACAAATTAATTTACATCAAATTTTTGCTATTGTACCGATGTTACGTCAACTCAATGTCACATTGATTGTTAGTCAATTTTCTGATATCGACACGATTCTTTTCAACCAACTATCAATTTACAACAATTATTAATCCCTATCAACCATATGACCATGGTTGATATTAAGCGTTTACTTTCGCCGATGACTTGTCTTACTCATCTTACTCTCAATATCAAAAATCATACCCAAATCCTTAAAATCAACTAGTAACTCTTAACGAAAGAGATTCATCTACTGCTGTTGCTAGAACAATGTATGAGGATGTGGGTATGGATTGAGATTATTAGAAAAAAAAATACTCATATTCACACCCTCGCTCACATGTTTCTTCTCGGGCAGTTGTAAAAATGATATTTGGGAAGAGAAATTATGACTACATTTCTCTTCTGTTATTAACAGGGAGCACTTTGTCATAATGAAGAAAATTTCACGATAGCATATCATTGAGAAGAGAGTAAATATTTAACAAAGAAAAAAACAACTGTAAATGTGACACGGCAACAGTTGTGAAGGAATGACTCAAAAAAGTACAGGTTACATGTAAAATCTTCATAGTTTCATATACAAAAGCTCTTAACATATTCCCTGAAATACTGAAGGATGTGACGTGTGCTTGTAGATCTTCTCTTAAATTACAATGTCACACTCCATGCCCACCTACCTACGTGTTCTCTTCGATATCTATGACTAATAAAAAATGATATTGTGAGACGCGTATCTCATTGACACTATATATTCACTGTCTGTCTCAAATTCTTTTTTATAGTATTAATTTTCTATACCATATTCATGTCGATAGAGGATCGTCAGATTGTGAAAACGGAAGTACTTCTGCCGAATGCAGAAGATCGAGACAAACTGGCTTTCATTCTATTGAATGTTTTCACACCGAAAGAATGTCAAGATTGGATTGAGTTGACTGAACAACGTGGTTATAATCCTGCAAAAGTGAATGTAGGGTATGGACGTGAAAAGTTAATGACTGATTTTCGTGATAGTGATCGATGTATTATTGATGATGTGAATATGGCCAACATTCTCTTTCAACGTATCGAATCATTTTTACCAAAAACATGCGACGGTTACCATTTGGTTGGCCTCAATGAACGCCTTCGATTTCTTCGATATGATCCAGGTCAAAAATTTGAACCACATATGGGTAAGATTGCTGAGATGGTTTTCTATTTGAATACAATATAATTTTGACTTTCATATGTAAAGATGGCGTTTACGCACGTGAAGATGGTTCCGGCGAGAAAAGCATGCTTGTGAGTACAGCACATAACTCCAAAACAGTTAACAAATATACAGGATGATAGAGAATTTCAAGCTCTATCACAATATATAATTACTTTTTTCAAAAGATAATTCTATAGTGATGACAAATTTAAAAAACTAATTTTGATAACGGTGACAAAATCAAGTCTGAGGGAATCTGGAAATGAGGGTGCCTTCATTACATTCAATTTGTTTTGGTCATACATATAGTCAAACGAAAAAGCAAATACACGGGCTAATAGAAAACTTCACACGCTTTCAGAATATATCATTATTTTGTAAAAAATACGCTGCTATGATAACGATATCCTCAAAATACAGACTACAGCTTATTTTTTCCAGGCGTATATATATGTAATGATTTTCATTCTAGACTGTACAACTTTACTTGAACGAAGGGTATAAGGGTGGTGAAACAACCTTCATCCATCATACTACTTCGAGTAAGAATGTCCCATGTGTACCACGTACAGGAATGGTACTTGTATTTTCACATCATATCGTACACGAAGGTTCAAAATTAATTAAGGGCCGTAAATACACTGTCCGTACTGATGTCATGTATCGACCATCATGAAATAAAGTTCATTTCATTTGTTTTCTCACGTCTTTTGTATTTTCGCATAAATATTGGATAGTCGTATTGAGTGTGGGTGTGGATATAGATGTGGGTTGATGTAGTGAGAGTGTGACTGTGGGTGTCCGGATGGGGTAGGTGAGTGTAGGCGAATAGGATATCGACACCAACACCACTGACATCTACATACCATACCTATAGCTACACCCACACTCGAAGGATGTATAATGATTTCCATGAAATCAGTGAAAATGCAAACTCGATAGATTCATGCCATTATTTTTGTATACCAGCTAGTAGTGTATTCTTGAAAATGACTGGTGAAAGTAACGAGGGACTGTCAAGTCTTTGACCACAGCTCAAATGAAAACAACATAGGTCTGGATTATCGTTTATATTAATGTCTTTAGATTGATTGATAAGTTAATCAAATCAAACTGCTCGGTTTGCGAGAATTCGACTTTAATTTATTTAACCCATATTGAATGTCATGAAAATTTCGATGAATTCTTCTACTTAGGTCATATTAAAAATAGTTATGGAGGTACTATAATTCTTTATAAAAATGTTTAAGAAACTTTCTTTTGAAATAATCTGATAGAGACAACAATGCTCTATGTTTCTACAGTATTTGATCATACTTCAACTAATATCATAATCATAAAATTTCAATAAAAACGGTTTTTGTTGAGAACTAGTTGGTAGTATCAGATCATAACTGGTGAGATACTTTTCCATTTCACTTTGCTATCACTTAATACGTTTTAGTAAGAAAAAAAAAATATCACAAGATGCAGCTTAAAAAGGTGTACACTTTATGCAGGATTGCTTATTTTGTAGTTGCACTTTTTTTTCAAAGTAGACAAAGCTTTGAGGGACGAAACTTTGTCTATTTTGAAAAAAAGTGCAACTACAAAATCAGTGGTCCTATATAAATTATATAGCTTTTCACGCTGCATCTTGTGGTATATTTTGGTTTTTCATTACAACGTATTAAATGATAACAAAGTGAAATACAAAAGTATCCCATTCGTTATGGTCTAATGCGACCAACTAGTTTTTAACAAAAACCGTTCTTATCGAAATTTTATTATTACGATATTAGTTGAAGTATAATCAGATACTATAGAAACATAGAGTATTGTTTTCTCTACCAGGTTATTTCGAAAGAAAGTTTCTTAAAGGTTTTTATAAAGAATTACACTACCTCCTTAGCTATTTTTGGTATGACATAAGTATAACTTTTATGAATAAAACTACAGACTTTTCAAATTTGAATCTGTTTTTGAAGATAAACTTCAAAAAGCTTTGAGTCGTTTCAAGTATCACATTTTCAATCATCACTTTTCATTACATGCTCTTATGCCCTACTATTTATTGAAGTAGATTCTATTCTTAAAAAAATCTCTTATTAGTGCAGAATACATCATTGATGATGAATCAGTTTGTTAGCTCTTCTCTTTAGATTGGCTGTAATACCGAGCTTCAGTGCCTTCAACATGTTCAGTTGTTGTCCATACAAAGCCTTCAAATAAATCATATATCGCTCATTGGAAGATTGATCATTTTCAATTTTTGTCACATTGAAAAATGTTCGTGCACCAATCAAAACTTCTTTTTCATCTTCATAATTCGATATACATGGTAAATGATATTCAGGAATTGCACTCAAGTTGATTGCTGAATCACATGGTTGAGGAAAATAAAATATGAATATGACACGCATTTTATCAGATAATGGTGCAGATGTTTCCGAAAACTTCTGAGCTACATCTCGATTAATAGATGCCGATGCAAATGTCAACGTTGATATAGCACTATCTTTTCATTTCAATGTCCAACGGTAGTCATTCAATTGTTGTCGAGTCATTGGAACGCCGCCATAGCAGTATCCTTGATAATAACGTTGTTTTAAATCCAGAAGATGCATATGAAATGGAAATCCTAATGGACTTGAACGTGCCAATATTTGACGATAAAATGGTGTTTCCAATGTGTAGAGTTTCAGCAGCGATTCAATTGTACCATGTTGAAAATATTCTCTGAGTAAATAGCAGCATGGGCATCTAGGATGCCAGAAGATTCCTACACTCGCCAACAAAAATCTTGCTGTTCAGTCAGTTGAACAAAACCTTATTAATATGATCGCAATTATATTTTCACAAATCTAATTATATAGACTTGTCATAGGTTTTTTTTATCTATTGCCTAAAAGTTATCTAATCAAATTAAAGAATTTTTAAAAAAGAAAGATAGTGATACTAATAGGTCAATGCATCATTTCATTAAATTTTAGATCTTGATGTTTTCTATTCTTATTAATTTTCTTCCCGATCACCTCACCTTCTAAAAATTAATGAATAACAAATGTTTCAACTGGCACAAAAGTTTACAGAATGCTAGAATATCTCTCGAGTGTATAATAGCAAGGAAAACAAAAAGAACACTTCCTGTTGATATTAATCCTTAAAAACATAGTATGGAGCTGAGCTATTTACATCCGATCTAGGTTTTCAAAAACTTTATTCATTTTCTAAGTATATTCATGATTATATAGTCAAATGTCTATAAATTTCAAGAATCTCATTGAATATTTTGAGTTTTTCTCTTTTTATTCAAATCTTATCTATAGTTATCCAAGGTGTAATTCGAATTTCTTTCAGAGTTCAATTAATAGAACTAGACAAACATCGATCTAATTTCTATTCGATTCGAATTTATTATTCATAAATTCATCGCTTCACAATGATATAGGATACAAATATTACAAGAAAACAAAACATACAGTTTAATATAAGTAAAATAAACAGTAATTAAAAATATTACACTGTATATCACAGATATACTTAGATGTATAAATATAAAACATATCAACATCGACCTACGTAGATATTAAAATGTGACCTTATTTTCCGATGGTAAGACACGGAAACGTAGAATACTTGCGCAGATGTGCGTTGAAAGTAAAATTTACCAAACAATGGGTATAAGTTTTTTTCCAAATTATTGAATGAAGTAGTTCTATGTCAAATTGGCAATATTTTACTTGCACAAATTTTCAGATATATGATGTAAAAATTTATCATGTTTTAGATCCTTGCCATGACCATTATTATCGATATGTATGTATGTAATTTTCTAAATGTTTTCATAACAACAGATAACTAATGAACATGCTAGTAGAAACTTTTACAATCTTTCTGAAACTTTTGTTCGCACTACCAACCAAACACGGACAGTACATTGACAGATAAAAAGTATCTAACGGTATATCACAATTGAAGGACCGTAAAAAGATAAACAACCATTTAACTGTAAAACTACGATCGATTGATTGCTGATATACTATCAGTTTTTGTTACTATTGGCAGGAAAAAATCGGTGAACCATTGATATGGCGCACATTAGATACGTTTATGAGTTTCATTTCAGGAAAATTGCTAATGTATACTGACAATAACAGAGAGTTGAAAAGTAAAAAAAAATTCAAAAAATCTCGCTTGAAGAAATTGATGCTATTTATGTTAAGATAATAATTTATTCATGTGAAACAAATATAGTCCGGATTTCAGAATCATAATAATTCATAAAATCTCACATTTTATGAGTTCTCTTTGAGATGAATACAATAATCCTTGATGACGAAAAAGATAAAAGTTGGTTTTTGTAGAGTTTAGAGTCACATAAATTGATTTGTTTCATATTCCAAGATTATATGAACAAGTCTTGTATGAACTATATTCATTTAACCGTATATGCTTAAGAAAACGTAAGAGTTCATCATTGAAGATTTTATTATAATCATGTTTCTAGTTTTTCGTTTTCCAATATGTGTTCAAATTAGCGACATGATGGTTTTGTAGTCATTGGTCTTAAAATATTAGTAACAATAGGACATTTATGTCATGTTCCAATTTGTTAATTGTTGAATGGATATATTCTTCGATTTAGAACTTTGATAGATTTCAATAGGCGAACAAGTTGTTTACGATAAACACTTCCAGAAAGAATATAAAGAAAAAATGAAACAAAATAATCACATTGTTGCCACATGACTAATATATTTCGAACGGCTGTAATATTAGGTGTTATTGTTGATGGATTAAATGCATTCATACTGTAAATAACTCCGAATGGGACAGTAAGAACAAGATGAATACTTATTTGCAGCAGCAACATTCGAGTTAAGTATCTTTCAGTTCGATGATAAAGTCCAAAATTTATTTGCGCTCCTATACTAGCCAGATGTCGTCCAGTATTAGATATTGTCAACAAACCGAATATAATCATTAATAGAGGTGCCATAATATAATAAAGAAGAATTTGAGTGAAAATATAAATATTGATCAATATATTTGAGTCTTGTATACATGTTCCAGATGGTTCTTTTCGATGATATATAGCTGATATTGGGGACATGTACATAGTGCATAATATCGTAGCAATAATAATATTTATTCT